CGTATGCATGGCGTATGTGACATATGTGTGGTAATGGAGAGTGTCAATGGAGAATGTTAAGGTTTTGTTCGTATGCATGGCGTGTATGTCAATTGTGTGGTAATGGAGAGTGTTAATGGAGAATGTTAAGGTTTTGTACGTATGCATGGCGTATGTGACATATGTGTGGTAATGGAGAGTGTCAACGGAGAATGTTAAGGTTTTGTTCGTATGCATGGCGTGTATGTCAATTGTGTGGTAATGGAGAGTGTTAATGGAGAAGGTTAAGGATTTGTACGCATGCATGGCGTATGTGACATATGTGTGGTAATGGAGAGTGTCAATGGATAATGTTAAAGTTTACTTCGTAAGCATGGCGTGCATGACATATGTATGGTAACAGAGAGTGTTAATGGAGAATGTTAATGTTTTGGCGTGTGTGCGACATTTCGTTTGCATGGTGTATATGACATATGTGTGGTAATGGTGAGTGCTAATGGTGAAAGTTAAGGTTTTGTTCGTATGCATGGCGTGTATGACATATGTGTGGTAATGGAGAGAGTGTTAATGGAGCATGTTAAGGTTTTGTTCGTATGCATGGCGTGTATGACATATGTGTGGTACTGGAGAGTATTAATGGAGAATGTTAAGGTTTTGTACGTATGCCTGGCGTGTATGACATATGTGTGGTAACAGAGAGTGTCAATGGAGAATTTTAAGGTTTTGTTGGTATGCATGGCGCATATGACATATGTGTGGTAACGGAGAGTGTTAATGGAGAATGTTAAGGTTTTTTCGTATGTATGGCGTGTATGACATATGTGTGGTAACAGAGAGAGTTAATGGAGAATGTTAAGGTTTTGTTCGTATGCATGGCGTGTATGACATATGTGTGGTAATGGAGAGTGTTAATGGACAATGTTAATGTTTTGTTCGTATGCATGGCTTGTATGACATATGTGTGGTATGAGAGAGTGTTAAAGGAGAATGTTATTGTTTTGGCGTGTGTGTGACATTTCATATGCATGACGTGTATGACATATGTGTGGTATTGGAGAGTATTTATGGATAATGTTATGGTTTTTTTCGTACGCATGGCGTGGTTGACATATGTGTGGTAATGGAGAGTGTTAGTGGAAAATGTTAAGGTTTTGTTCGTATGCATGGCGTGTATGACATATTTGTGGTAATGGAGAGTGTTCATGGAGAATGTTAAGGTTTTGTTCGTATGCATGGCGTATGTGACATATGTGTGGGAATGGAGAGTATTAATGGATAATGTTAAGGTTTTGTTCGTATGCCTGGCGTGTATGACATATGTGTGGTAACAGAGAGTGTCAATGGAGAATTTTAAGGTTTTGTTGGTATGCATGGCGCATTTGACATATGTGTGGTAATGGAGAGTGTTAATGGAGAATGTTAAGGTTTGGTTCGTATGCATGGCGCGTATGAGATATGTGTGGTAATGGAGAGTGTTAATGGAGAATGTTAAGGTTTTGGCGTGTGTGTGACATTTCGTTTGCATGGCGTATATGACATATGTGTGGTAACAGAGAGTGTTAATGGATAATGTTAAGGTTTTATCGTGTGTGTGACGTTTCGTAAGCATGGCGTATATGAGATATGTGTGGTAATGGAGAGTGTTAATGGAGAATGTTAAGGTTTTGGCGTGTGTGTGACATTTCGTTTGCATGGCGTATATGACATATGTGTGGTAACAGAGAGTGTTAATGGAGAATGTTAAGGTTTTAGCGTGTGTGTGACATTTCGTAAGCATGGCGTATATGACATATGTGTGGTAACAGAGAGTGTTAATGGATAATGTCATGGTTTTAGCGTGTGTGTGACTTTTCGTCTGCATGGCGTATATGACATATGAGTGGTAATGGAGAGAGTGAATGGAGAATGTGAATTTTTTGGCTGGTGTACGACATTTTTTTGTTTTGTGAGAGTCAAGGTCTATTTATCTCACAGAGATAGTGCTCTGATTTCTGTCGCATCGGAGGTGTTTGTGTGGGCATATGTACTGCGAATGTTCGGTATCTACCTACTCTAGGGCCTTTTGTTTATCACTCCCGTCGCTAACGTACCAAGTGTGGCCGTTGCCACAGCTGTAACATAAACAATTTGAGATCAGGGCAACGACACTTACACACACGCCTTGGCTGTTTAGGTTGTCATGGTAACACTTGGTTGTCATGGTAACACCAGAGTCAGGCTGTGCCACGTCCCGGCTACCTTGCATGATACTGACGCATTGGGTATAGCACCGCTACCCCGATCAATCATTTCAGAGATGGGTGCGCCTCTCATTCGCATTAACTATTACCTATCATCACACCTTCCAGACAACACCACCACCTCACATTAACTAGCACTTATCATCACACCTCACATTAGCTAGCACTTATCATCACACCTCACATTACTATTACCTATCATCACACCTTCCACACAACACCACCACCTCACATTAACTAGCACTCCCCATCACACCTCACATTAATTAACACTTATCATCACACCGTCCACATACCATCACCACACAGCTACGCTCGTGGACAACTTGGGCCAGACCATTGCAGCCATGCGCACGCCACGGCCCAGGAACAACGCAGCCGTGTACGAGGACGCCATCATGGAGGCTGAGATCACTCGCATGCTGCTCCTGGTGCACATACAGCCCATACCTACCAACCCGGATAAGAGCTATGTGGAGATGCTATACGCGTACGAGAACGACGCACAGCCTGTTAGGGACATGGATCTGGTGCTGTATACGACCCTGCAGGACGTTTGGGTGTGTGTGTGTGTGTGTGCATGCTGTGATGCATGCCTGTCGCCATCGTATGCACGTGCATAACGTTGTACATACGTGTATATCGTTGTACATATTTTATGACCGTGTGCCATCACATACACGTCAGATGTATCGATTACCATCCTTATTACTAACGTATGAGTGTCTGTCAATGGTTCATGTTTGTAATTAGGTTATGTCTCCTGATGCCACATCTGTCCGTTGTTCGTGCTATTGAGCAACGTACGAGTGTCTGTAAATGGTTCATGTTTAAAATTAAGATATGTATTCTGATGGTTCTATTTATAGTCTACCTTCTCTACCGTTCTATTTATAGTCTACCTGCTCTGCCGTTCTATTTATAGTTTATCTGCTCTACCGTTCTATTTATAGTTTACCTGCTCTACCGTTCTATTTATAGTCTATCTGCTCTACCGTTCTATATAAAGTTTGCCTGCTCTACCGTTCTATTTATAGTTTACCTGCTCTACCGTTCTATTTATAGTCTACCTGCTCTACCGTTCTAATTAAAATCTACCTGCTCTACTGTTCTATTTATAGTCTACCTGCTGTACCGTTCTATTTATAGTCTCTACCTGCTGTACCGTTCTATTTATAGTCTCTACCTGCTGTACCGTTCTATTTATAGTCTACCTGCTGTACCGTTCTATTTATAGTCTCTACCTGTTGTACCGTTCTATTTATCGTCTACCTGCTGTACCGTTCTATTTATAGTTTTATCTGCTCTACCGTTCTATTTATAGTCTACCTGCTCTATCGTTCTATTTATGGTCTTGCCTGTCTCTGCTTCCATGCACACATTTGCTACAGATCGCACGGACGGAAGGCGATCTGCAACTACTACTGGAACTACAGGGAGAACTATACATGAAACTCACAACACAGCAGAACGACATACTACAACTCATCATACACGGCGTACGACATCAATGACCAACCACAACACGACACACGGCACAAGGGCACCAGACACAATCAACAACAACACACAACCCCCCCAAAGAGACGATAACCCCCCGCCCTTTCTACTAGTGATTGTTAACGCACAGGCAGGTTTGTAATGGTCAATAGTCTATGTGCACCCCAAAGCTACCTTCAAGGCACCCACCATCAGCAAGGGCCATACACATCTACGAGACTAGATGGGGTGTACACATCTACGAGTTTAGATGGGGTGCTCTGAGACCACTTCGGTACACAACGGGTGCACGATGCACCTCTTTTACTGCACCCGGACACCGCATATACCACACCCGGGGCGGTTGTATCAATTGCTCTCCTGGGACCGGTGAGCAGCACAGGTTGCTGTCAGGGTTAGTCTTATGTCAACTCATCACACGTGCACTATCCGTGGCTTATAGCACAGGAGCCGAGTACAACACAGCCTCGCTCTGAGTTGTTTGGGTTTTGGCTGTGTATTGGGTCTGGACACACTGGAGCGTCGCATTGGGTCTGGACACACTGGAGCGTCGCATTGGCTGTACACACGCATGTAGGGTTTTAGGGTTTAGAGCACATATTGGCTCATTCAATTGGGCCGCATTGCGAATCCACGAAAGCGAAGGACGTTATGTTATGTAGTTGGTAGCACATGGCAGGGCCCGGAATAGGAACGCAGAATTACACGAGAGGTGCCAATCCACACACACCATAGGTTGTGTGTTTGTAACTGTAGTTGAATATTACATACACATAGGTTGTGTGTGTGTAACAGTAGTTAAATAACACATACCCATACACATAGGTTGTGTGTGTGTAACCGTAGCTTAATAGCATACACATAAGTTGTGTGCATGCGCAGTTGCATAGGCGGCTCGTCTCGTGAATGATAGGGGTATTCCCACACGTAAGTCGTCTGAGACTGTGTGCAGCCGTTCCCAGTGGGCACGTAACTGTCGCGATGGTGTGCGACGGCACACACTGAGGACTCTCTAACGTACGACAGCTAGTGAATGCATAGTGCACGTGGATGTAGGGTTTAAGGTTTTATAGCCCCCCGTCCTCGGCCCTATACGGTTTATTATTGTGATCGAATAGAGATTTCTAGGACACCTACCCACAGGTCATTATCTACTGCGCACAGCCGGGCTGGGAGAAAGTTTGCAAAAAACAAAAACAAAAAAACATACATACATAGCGCGGGGGTCACCTTCACTCAGTCATAACACAGTATATTCTGCCGAGTGGTATTCCGATTACTCTGGGTTGCTACAGGTTTAATGGACATCATCATGCTTTCAGACACTGCTGTAAGGTTCTTAAAATAAACTATTATTGGTTGGTTGCCGTAAGTTCAAGCTCCTTTCCACTGGCCACACTCACAGACCAAACAAACAGTACTCAGGCGAGCGAGGTTTCCTTGCCCGTCTTCTTGATTTGTGCCAGTACTGTTTCCTTGTCCAGCGAGGTGGTTACTTTGACCTGAGGGTGTGGGTGATATGGGCTTGTGTAAGGGCCTGTATAGGACTTTTGTGTGTCAGGATTCGGTGAGCGCAAAGTCCAGTTTATGCGCAACAAACCAGAATACGACCCTTTTTTCTAAAATATACACAAAATACCCCTCCCCCCCGCCCCAAAATGAATAAATACACAGCACAAGTGGCAAAACAATGTAATGATACACATACAGATTCAACACAGCGGATAAAAACGAGTCAGATATATACTAGGCCAATATGTAATAACACACATACAGATTCAACACAACGGATAAAAACGAGTCAGATATGTACTAGGCCAATACCGGCTACATAACGCATTCAGAATTTAGATACCTTTCTGTTAGCAACGTCACACTCCACATTCTCGATGCCTGAGCAGAAAAGAGGAATACACAGGTGACAGTATTAGACGCTTTACGACAGTGCCGGAAATGGGAAGAACAGTCGCAGCACCATGAATTAGTCACTTAGAAGCGTGTCATGTCACTTTGAGAAAACAGGACAGCCCACTCATAAATATCTAGCTTACCCAGATACTCTTAGGACAGGTGCATATGCATAAAACAGGACAGCCCACTCATACCATCTAGCTTACACAGATACTGACGGGACAGGTGTATGCATAAAAGGACAGCCCACTCATACCATCTAGCTTGCCCAGATACTCACAGGACAAGTGCATGCATAAAACAGGATAGCCCACTCATACCATCTAGCTTGCCCAGATACTCACAGGACAAGTGCATGCATAAAACAGGACAGGTGCACGCATAAAATAGGACAGCCCACTCATACCATCTAGCTTGCCCAGCACTCGTCGGACGGCGTTTGAGCAACCGTCGCAGGTCATGGCTACGTTGTATTCGTGTGTCTGAATGGAGAGAAGGAAACACACAGAAAGAAACAACACACACTTGAGCGAAAACATCAAAGTACTAACAGCAAAGCGAAGGCAATGAGGTTGCAGGTGGTATAGACGCCCGGGAAGGGACTGGTGCTATATGATAGACGAAGGAAATGTCATACTCCAACTGAACACACACGTAACGCTTATAAAGCGTTTGCAATAAGTGATAATTATCGTATAAGCAGAGTGAACTGCTCTCACACCACGAAAAGCCACATACACAATGAACAGAGCAGAAGCGTATAGTAGCCACAGATGCGGTTGAGTTAAATTGAACGTCAATGCCCGTTGTACTACGGCTATACTTTTTTCAAAACCATGAGCGCCTTATAAGTGAACATATAAATGCAAAGGTGGAGATGCACAATCACAGATACGTGTGACACGAAATAGAGATATGTCAAGACTTACAACAGGTGTGTTGCACAGAGGATTTTCCGTTGGATAAAACGGACAGAAAAATATATAATTGTCGTCGAGGAATATGAAATACATAAATAAGTGTATGACTAAATACACACACACACACACACATATATATATATATATATGTATATATTTTTACATGTACACAAACAGTCTCATACACAAACACAAACACACACACATATGTATATATATATATAGATGAAAATATACGTATAAAAACGTATACATAGATACACTTAATGCATATAGATTGATGGGAATATACATATATATATATATATATATATATATACATATATATATATATATAGTTAATATATGTATATATATATACTATGTATATTATATACATACATATA